TGGATGCACAATTTTTAAAAATGTGCATGAAGTCCAATTTGTCTATTTTTTTCTTTTGTTGTCTGTGTCTTTTATGTTACATCCCAGAAATCCTTGTCAAATCCAGTGTCATGAAGCTTTTGCTCTACATTTTCTTCGAAGAGTTTTATAGTTTTAGGTCTTGCATTTAGCTCTTGGATCCATTTTGAGTTAATTTTTGTATGTGGTATTAGGTAAGGCCTTTACTTCATTCTTTTGCATATGGATATCTGGTTTTCTTAGCTCCATTGTTGAAAAGACTGTCTTTTCCACATTGGATGGTCTTGGCACCCTTGTCGAAAATTATGTGACCAAATATGCAAGGCTTTGTTTCTGAACTTTTTCTTCTGTTCCATTGGTCTATGTGTCTGTCTTCATGTCAGTACCACAGTGTTTTGATGACTGTATTTTGTAGTAAGTTTTGAAATCAGGAAGTGTGAGTCTTCCAGCTTTGTTGTTTTTCAAGATTGTTTTAACTGTTTGGGGTCCCTTGAGATTTCATAAATTGAAGGATTTTTTTTTTTTCCCCTGCACAAAAGTTGTTGGAATTTTGATGGGAACTGCATTAAATCTGTAGATCACTTTAGGTAGTATTGACATCCTAATAATAATACATCTTTCAATACATGAACACAGGATGTCTTTTCATTTATTAATGCCTTCCTTAATTTCTTTCAGGAATGTTTTATGAATTTCATTGTACAGATCTTTTATCTCTCTGGTTAAGTTAATTTCTAAATATTTTTCACCATTGCACTCCGGCCTGGGTAACAGAGGAAGACAGCAAAAAAGGAAAACAATTCCTAAGTATTTTATTCTTTTTGAAACCATTATAAAGTGAGTTGTTCTCTTAATTTTCTTTTTGTATTATTCATTGTTAGTATATAGAAATGCAACTAATTTTTTTATTCTTTTGAGTCAGAATCTCTGTCACCCATGGAGTGCAGTGGCACAGTCATGGCTACTCAGGTGGTTCTCCCACCTCAGTCCTTCAAGTAGCTGGAACCACAGGCACGTGCCACCATGCTCGGCTAATTTTTTGATTTATTGTAGAGATGAGGTCTCACCAAGTTGCCCAGACTGGTCTCAAACCCCTGGGCTTAGGCAGTTCTCTCACCTCCACCTCCCACAGTGCTGGGGTTACAGGCATGAACCACCATGCCTGGCCTCTCTGCTGCTTTTAAAATTCTTTGTGTTCCTTGTCTTTCTACAGTCTGATTATAATTTGTCTTCATGTGGGTCTCTTTCACTTCATCTTTCCTAGAGTTTATTGAGCTTGAATGTTTATATTCATTTCTTTGGTCAAATTTGGAAAATTTTTGGCCATTCCTTCTTCAGGTAACTTTTCTCCCCCTTTTTCTTTCTTTTCTTCTGGAACATACACATGCATATATTGGTCTTGGCCAGCTGCAGTGGCTCACACCTGTAACCCAGCACTTTAGGAGGCTGAAGAGGGAGGATTGCTTGAAGTCAGGAGTTCAGGACTACCCTGGGAAATATAGTGAGACCCTGTGTCCAAAAGAAGAAGAAAAAGCTAGATGCTGTGGTATGTGCCTGTAGTCCCAACTACTTGGGAGACTGAGGTGAGAGGACTACTTGAGCTCAGGAGTTTGAGACTGTAATGAACCATGATTGTACCACAGCACTCCAGCCTGGGTGACAGAGTGAAACCGTGTCTCTTAAAAAAAAAAAAAAAAAAAAATATCATATGTTGGTCTGCATGATGGTGTCCACAGGTCCTTTAGGCTCTGTTTACTTTTTTTCTGTCTTTTTTTTCCTGTTTCTGAGACAATTTTCATTTTCTTATTTTTAAGCTCATTGACTCTTCTGCATGAGCAAATCTGCCTTTGAATCCCTCTAGTGAATTTTTGTCTTCGTTATTGTAA